GTAGAAGCTGCTGGGACTCCCAGCAGCTTCTACTGAAGCCTTCCGAGTAAATCGCCAGAACGTGGACACCTCCTCATCGCTCCACCGCTCCCATGTTTTATTTTGTGTTGCCATAAGTTATTCTCTCTCTGTTGGTGCGCGGGGCTAATGCTAATAATGCTAATGCCAGCAAATACAATGGCAGCTTCTCAACACTTTTCAGAGGTTTAAAGGGCGTGGTTTGCAATTCGCCCTGCCAATCAGAAATTTTTTCTCCCCAGGATAGTACCACCTCTCTAGCAGGCACTAAAAAGGGGGTAAAAGTTCTCATGAACTAAGTTCTCTTTTTGGTGTGAATGCAAAATCGGAACTAAACGGGAAAAAGTACTCCGGTGTGAACGCGCCTAATGAGAGCAGGAACTAAGATAAACCTAAGAGCTTCGACTGTGGCTTTCTGGCAGTTCTATAAGGTTCTCTACAGGAAGTCAAGAGTCACTGATGTGAGAGATAACCCACCCATCTGTAGAGACTTCTAAAGGTTGATGTTGCTTTCTCACATTCTTAATTATTAAATATTTAAAAGTGAGACTATGTAAGCTAAACAACGGTACCACAGTTTTCATAAGAATCACTCAATAAAACCTGATCAGTTGAATTAAAAAGGAATTAAATCATAACATAACCGAATAGATGTCAACCTTTTTAACAATGACAAACACTTATACATAGGTGCGTATATATATGTCTACACATGCATTTGTATATCTCCTTGTAAAGTAAATCAGTAAAATACACATCATCAAAGCAGGTCAGGACGGATCACTTGAAGGGACATGTGGAAATGAGGACAAAAGGAAAAGAAAGCAGGGGAAATGGGGGTTTGAAGGTGTGAAACTTCTAACAGTACCTATTCTTTCTTGAGACAGGACTGCGTCTTGGGGTCTGGTTCCTTATCAGTATTAGAATTGTAAACCCTTGTCGTAAATCAGATTGGCTTTCCTTTCATTTTAGTTTCTGCTGGTCTGTCCTGTTGAATATCAAAGTGTTCAGCAAGAATGTAGAGGAAGTCACCAGTGACACGCTAAATCATCAAGATCTTTCAGATGCTGATGGTCATACAGATTTCCAAGTGACAACAAAGTGACCCTGATTGTATAAAACTACTACAGAGTAATCACATAACACCTCACACGGTACTGGGAGGTGTGAACATGTGACATCACAAATCACAGAGGATCCTCTCCGGTCCTTAGAGTTCAGGACGGTAGCACCAAACGCTGCTGCAGGTCAGACCGTAGTTCTCCTCTCTGACAGACTTGGGCAGCTCAAACTCAGCCAGCTGATGCAGGAGGCGTCGGATGCCGTGTTCCTCGAACTGGGCTCTTCCAGGATCCCCGATCAGGACTTTGGTACCGTGGGTTTTGATGCAGCGGTCCAGCCACATACATCTGGCATACAAAAAAAAAAAAAACACGTTCATGATTGAAATGAATGACGTTTTAAAATAAAAGCAAATCTTGAGATAAAACAAACTCATCAAAACAGTCAGCTGTGATTATTTCCTTAAGATTATATCAACATGATTTCCAGTAAGAATTCATTTGAAATGTATTGTATTTATTCAATCATGCTGTTTTACTTTAAAATACTCTTAATCCTACTTTAATATGATGACTGCAGTCTTGTTCGTTTTTAAGACATTCCACATTAAACCTTAAATCGCTTTTTAGGTTTTCAAGTTATCATTTGAAAGAAATGTAGGCTTACTTTAATAGAGCAGTTACCTTAATGTAAGGAACATTTAAACTAAATAAAGTTATGATTTTTTTTATCTAATCCCTGCCTTTTAGTGAACCCAAACATTCATTATCTATAGTTAGGAAACACTGCAGTGGGCAGTTGCTCATGGTTTGCAGTATCTTGTTATGGCTCGCACCTGGCCAACTCAGACCATCATAAAACTGAAAGCACAACAATATGGTTTCCCAGACCAGTTTGTCCACAGCTGCAAGAAAATAGTTGTCACTGCTCCGTTGTCTTTTGCTTTTCAAGGTCTGGGAAGTGATGTTGTCTCTGGGTAAACACCAGATGTTGAGATAAGGATCCCTGTGGCCCAAATCACACTTAACAATGTGTTGTCTATGACCTAAAGATGAACCATCTTCAATTAAAGATATTAAATACTTGCCCTCAGAATTTTTTATCAGTCATCAAAAAATGTATTTAAGTGGCTATAATTTGATTTAATCAAATAAAGAACTACTTGGAAATTGCTTACCAGGAAACTCAACTTTGACTACTGTGAACTGTTGAACTCTTCACCTTGTGCAACCTGGAAATTAATTGTGTTTGCTAACTTTGAACAGGAAAAGAGGAGTCTTCTGGATCTCAGACCTTGAGAGGCTTGACTGCCAGACAATGGAACAATTCCCATGTGTAGAAATGAACCTTTTAGGACCTTTGACCTACAATGGCTTGACACATGACTCACTGAGACAGCATAGATTGGAACTATATTTCCATGAGCGTTATTACTTTATAATTCAAGACTTTTTTTTGGAAAAGGGATAATTCAGTTTAAGTCATCATGATGCAATTATTGTATGTAATTGTATGTGTCTCATTTAATACATTGATTAAAGGTGGGGTAGGTAATTTTGGAGAAACCAGCTCGAGTGCGCTAGAATTTGAAAATACACAACTGGAAAAAATCTGCCACTTCCTTACAGAGCCCCTCCTCCAACAACACACACAAGCGCGCACATGACCAATGAGGGCACGAGATAAGTTTGTGCACAGATGGAAGGCTGACAGGCAGGTAGGCCATCCAGTTATTTTAGCCGGGCCGGCTAAAATGATTGGTCATGCTTTTTACAGCACTACGGCTTCCACAGATTAATTAATGGATTTTTTGTCAAAGCACTTAAGATATTCATTGCTATCGGGATGTTAAGAGCATTCCATGGAATATAACAAAAAGTGTATTTCGAGCCGGTTTCTCAAACTTACCTACCCCACCTTTAAGTTTTGATTTTATTATTCACTTGTTTAATCTTGTGTGCTTTTACATTTTGTATATTAGAAGATAACAAGTATTACAAGTATTGTAAGAATGTAACCTCCGGAGACAGCTAAGCATACATACCAGTGTCAATGTCATTTGCAACAACATGAGTGGCACCACTCAGTTTTGCAGCGATGGCTGAGGCTCCACAGCCGCTGCCCAGATCCAGAACTGTCTTCCCCCGACACACCGCAGGGTTATCCAGGAGAAACCTGCACAGAGGAGGCGCTGCATTACACTTAACAGCAGAGGTGGGAGCAGTACTCAGATCTTGTACTTAAGTAAAAGTAGAAGTACTCAGAGTATAGGGATTCTCTGTTACAAGTAAGTCCTGCATACTTAAAGTAACAAATGTACTCATTATGCAGATTGGTCCATTTCATAACAATATATATATGATATGTTTTGATTATAATTATTGATGCAAGTGTTATCAGAGCTGTGAAAAGCTGTGGGATATATTTTTGTGTGTGTATGGGACATATTATACAACAACCCTAATCATTGAAAGCATACGTGCTCAGAAACGCATACGGTAAATGGGGCGAAGCCTATGAGCTAGTTCAGGCAGTCAACTCGAGCACTTATGCTGCATTCATACATAACGCCCCTTGCCACTCTACAACCAACCAAACAGAGTCTCCTTAATATGCCGCTCTATTTAACCTGCCAGATCTCTCTCTCCATGCATTGCTTGCTGCTGCTATTGCTGCAGCTACACGTCGCTGCTGCTTGCCTGCCCCACCACCACCCCAGCTTCCACTCCAGCTTCCACCGGTAGGCTCGGGGGTTAGTTATTTAATCATCACTCATCGTGCTATGTATATCTGTGGAGTGATGAGACCCCAGCCGAGACGCCAAACTCAACAATATGCTGCTTCTAATAAACATGTTAAATAAACACGTGAGTTGTCTGACTGAACTGTTCATCTGTGGAAAGTTCTCATTTTGGGAATCCTTGCACCTGTTTAGTTAGGAAGGGAGTTGGCAGATAAAGATAGCATGGTCAAAACACCATTAAAAATGACCTAGGCCAGAATATCAAACAAAGTATGATTGAGTAGGGGAATGGTGGATGGTGGAAGAAACAATGGTGTCTACGTGATAGAGAAAGTCAAGGTCAAGAAGGAGGGCCTGAGACCCTCCTGGTGTCTGGTACCTGAGACCCTCCTACGCGTGAGAAGGCAAAGCAACTGGTAAGAAATGAATATAAGAAGAAGCCTGAACATTGTAAAGGCAGTCACTCCATGGACCGACTCGTGTTTGCTGTACTTTGTTGAATCTTCAGTAAACTCTATTCTATTGGAACTCTTTTGACTGTTGATTCTTTGAAAGTTAAATAAGTGTTAACATAGTGTTGTGAAGATCTCGAAGACATCCGGCCCAACTTCAGAGGTTGCTCCACAACAAAGGTGCAGCTAGTTTTAATGACTTTGTATACTGCAGGGTAGCTTGTGAATTTACTCCAGGCGTAACTAAAGTCTGATTTAAGTGTTGATTATATTTCACATCATTAATCCGAATATTTAAAGTAACTAAAAAGTACTAAATAAATGTAGTGGAGTAAAAGTACACAATTTATCTCTGAATTTTAGTGGAGTACAAAGAAACATAACATTGAAATAATCAAGTAAAGCACAAGTGTCTCAAAAGTGTACTTAAGCACTGTACTTATAAACTTCCCACCTCTGTAACTCACGCACATAAAACTGTGCCATTGATGGGCTAGAATATTACCTTGAGAGTGCCTGTCCTCCTGGCCAGTATATGGCCCAGTAGGGGTCTTCGAAAGGCCAGAGCTCGGGTCTTTCTCGCCAGAATCTACAGTTAGGAGTGAACAGCCTCAGTTTGACTTGTGGGGTCAGACTCTGCTGTCCAGCTATCTCCGTGTTTTCTAAAATAAACTTGCGGACATACTCCTCAGACTGACAGTTGGCTGAGGAACATATATGTCGAGTTGTCGGTATAAACACCTGGATAAATACTTTAACATTACGAGTTTGTGGCGTTAAAAAGCCTAACATGGTCATTAACTTACTGGAGAAACATTAGCTGCGATGCTAGCCCAGAGCTGATGATAATGCTTCTCGCTTCAGCAAACAGTATGTGTAACAGTGTCAGTGAAGAGCGACACCTCTAAAACATTATTATATTGACATATAAATAAACAGTTTACACTGCGTTACGAGACAACTGAGGCCAGCTGATTGTTTCCACACGGATTCAAAATAGTGTGGGACAAGAGTTCCACCGACCTCAGACGACCACCTGGAAACAGGACACACAACTTAGGTTCCGCGCAAAAGGCTATGTGTTTTCTGTAAATAAATACATTGAAATGTATGAGCAGAGGTGGAAGAAGTACTCTTATCTTGTACTGAAGAAAAAGTAGAAATACCATAGAGTAGGAATAGTATGTTAAGTACAAATCCTGTATTAAAATGTATGTTAAGTACAAATCTTGCATTACAATGTTACTAAAGTTGAAGAACAAAAGTATTAGGTCAGCGTGACATGATTTGTTTAATGGAATTCTTAGAAATGCATTCCTATTGCCAATAAGAACATGGCCTATTCCAATGCTGGGAAAGGTTTCAAACAAGACCCTATGTATCTGTAGCGGCCAAAATCATATAGAAATAAAACTGATAATTAACTTAGCACTGCCGCTGCTGAGGCACCAGTTAGCGAGTCTTACGCTGGGTAATGATACAGGTTTCCAATGGTTTGTTCCTCAAAGAAAACGCTGGTAAAAATTGCAAACAACTTCAAAGGTGCATACCGCCACCTACTGTACATGAGTGTGAATCATCATTCCATCTCTTAACTCATGGATGTATATCTATGATCTAAACAAAAAATAAATAAATCAACGAAAAACATAAAATAAATGAAATAAAACAAAATAAAAATCTATGATCTGTTCTAACCTAATGTTCAATTCTTTTTCCTACCCCAGTTTCACTCAGAAAGGTAAACAGTGCCTTTCTGGTAGCTCTTACTCCCTCTCCTTTTGTTCCCAAAATACCAACCACACTCCATTCCCTCTCTGCCTCTTTAACTTTAGCCTTTAGTTTTTCTCTTTCAGCTGTATAGATGTCACATTGTAACAAGATATGTTTCTACATGTTTTTTAACTCCACAGTTCCTACACTTGTCACTGTCACTTTTCCCCATGATATGCAGCGTACCATTCAATGCTGTGTGATCCAGTCTGAGTCTAGCTATCATGATTTTCTCCCTTCTGTTTCTTTCTTTATACATATTAATTGTAATTGTCTTTTGAACTTTATGATACTCTTTGCCTTTCTGGTCTTTCTCCCACCTTTTCTGCCAGATCTCCATCCCTTTCTTCTTAATTACTGCTTTTCCTTCTTCTTTTCCAAGTTGAACTGGTAATGTTATCTCCTTTTGTAGGGCACTTTTTGCTGATTTATCAGCACACTCGTTCCCTTTTACCCCCTCATGTGCAGGCACCCAGCAGAACTGAAGATCTATACCACCATGTGCAGTCTTAACAGGCTATGATTAAGTTCTATGAGAATGTCTTCTCTGACAGTTGTTGTTGTTGACTGTATGCTTTTTAATATGGATAATAAATCTGTGCATATCACCACCCTGTCTGGTCTGACCTCTTCAACCCACTGTAATCCTATTATTACTGCCAGCATCTCTGCTGTATACACTGATAATTGATCAGACGCTCTTTTTGAGATCGATATTTTAAAGTCTGGGATGTATGTACCAACTCCAACACACTCTTCCTTGTTCTTAAAACCATCTGTGTAAATGTGTAGGTAATTGTAATACTTTTCATTCAGATGCATTGTTTTAATTCCCACTTCATTTATTTGCCACTCTTTTTTCCTTTCTACGATACTCACATCTATATTAGCTTCTGGGAAAAGCCATGGGGGAACACTGCTAAATGGGCTTGCTTTGGCAAACCTGATGGTCTCCACTCCACATGCCCTCGTTCTCTCCTTACTCGTCCAGCCAAACCCACGCCCCTGGAACTTTGCATATTCCCAGCAATCCTGTAGTATTCTGTTTGTAATATTTTCCTCTCCACTTCCTTGTAGTCTGACCCAGTATGACAGAGCAAGTTTCTCTCTTCTGATCTCCAGAGGTGTTTCTCCTGCTTCTATCAGAACTGCATAGGGGATGACTTTATCGCTCCAACACACAGCCGCAATGCTTTATATTGTATTCTATCAATTTTTGCTGCTCCATACACTGTCTATACAACCATAGTCTATTGTGGACCTCATAATTGATCTGTAAATGTCTATTAATGCTTGTTTGTCTGCGCCCCAGTTGCATCCAGCTACAGCTCGCAATACATTTAATACTTTTTTGCATTTTGTTTCCATTTGATTAATATGCATTTTCCATGTGTATTTGCTATCAAACCACAGTTCTAGGTATTTGAACTCATTCACCTTTGTCATTGGACGATCATATAGTGTTAGCTGTTGGCCATCAATCTTGCGTTTATTTGTAAATATACTGTATGTAGCATGACTTGCTTTCTGACATTTTGAATCCCCAGTTATATGACCACCTCTCCACTTTTTGAATCGCTCTAGCTATATTCTCCATTACGTATGGGGCATTTGTCCAATACAATTACACCAGGTGCTCTAATCACCCAGTGCCCAAACATGCCTTCAAAATAAAAGCATATAAACTACTTTAACTTATGACAATAACTAAGAATACATTTACAATAAACACGAGAAACAGCAAGAAAATATATTTGTAAGTATTAAAACATAATATAAAGAGATATAGCTCCAACAGTATTATCTGGAAGAATAGGAGTTGTGTTATGTTCATTTGGATGTCCTTGTAAATATACTTAAAGGGCCACAAGTAAAAGTAATCATTATGCAGAATGGCCCTTTTCCAAATAATATATATTATATGTTTTGATTACGTTCATTGAACCATTAATGTGTTTATCAAACCTGGTGAAGGTGCAGATAGTTTTAATGACTTGGCCATGTAAATGTTACTCCATTTAAGTGGGGTTTTTAGCATTTCCAATCATTTATCCAAATCTTCAAATTAACTCAAGGTAAACAATACATTTAGTGGAGTTAAAGTACACTTTTGCAGTTTTTAAAATACAAATGTTTTTGTGTGAGCAGTCATACTTCATGGGAAGTAGTGGAGTACAAATACTTTACTGTACTTAAATATTTTCTGGTATCAGTACTTTACTCCAGTACTTATTTTTCTGACGACTTCATGCTTTTTACTTTTAACACAAATACCTGTACTTTCTACTTTTTACATTTTCAAAAGAGGTTTGTTACTTTAGTTTGAATCTGTGTGTCTGATCATTATTATTTAGTGTTGTGTGCCTATTGATTTTAACACGATCCGTGTATCCATCACTTCCTGGTCTTCTCCAAAGAAGAGGGACCAATGAGAACTTTGTCATGTTGCCGTTGTTCAGCATAGAAACATTCATATAACAATTACATTATTGTTCTATTAATATAAAGGGAGATCAGTTACTCTTTAAAACAGTTGGTAGTTATGGGTACTTTTTACTTAAGTACATTTCGAATCCCATACTACTTTACTTTTACTTGAGTAAAGAAGTTTAGTCAGTACTTCTACTTTAACCATGTGTTTTAAACACGAGTATCTGTAACTTTTGCCATCTCTGCTGTCATTGAAGTAACCAGAAACTGACCCATGTGGCCTCAACCAGCACACTCACACAGATCTGCTCTGTTATTGTTTTACAGATGGCTGTATAGTCCATCAAAGCTGGCAAGTGTAGTGACTGAGTCTCACACAGGAATTGCAACCTTGAGCCTCCAGTCATTGAGTCAGTGTTGCAATACTGCAACAATGGGTTCACAGTCTGCAGATACAAAATATCAGAAATACAGAGACATGCTTTGTCCTCCATTATCAACGTTGCCATACTGAATAGTATCACATATGATTTGTTCATTCAACAGGCCTGAAATGTAACATTTAAAGGCAATTAAGTTCTTCTGAGCTGGGAAGATTTTTAAGTCTTCGTGACTGCTCTCTTTAGCATACTCATTGGATATTAAGGTGTGAGAAAATATGCTTGGAACCTAATACATTTCTTTTTTTGTTTAGTCACACAGAGTGCAATGAAGAATATTACAGTTTACTAATTCACTGCAAGATGTCTGTTAATTAATATATATAAGATGCAAAAATAATATAAACAAAGCAAGTACATTTCTTGGACATACCATAAATGAAAATCAAGCAAAGACATGTGCAGTGATGTAGTGCAATACTTTGTTGCAGATGAATGTTTGGTTTACTTTTGATTGCATTAGTCATAATTAATAATATTAATATATAAATACAACACGTATGAACTGTTACTATGATTAAGAGTTGTTTTTTGAAAGGCTGACAAATGATGCTCTGCATGCTGTCACATGTTACTTCTCAGATACACTGTGCACAACTGACTTAATTTAATGTAAAATAAAGCCTTCAACATTTTATTTCACCACTCCTAACGTTAGATAAAGCAATTGCAGACCTATTGCTCCTTTTTTATCTCTCGAAGGTTTCTTAGTTTATATAAAAATATCAACATTGCAAAGACTAGAAGCTTTCTGAGAATATCTTCCCCTTCCCCCGCTTTTCTTTTTATGATCTCTATGACCAGACACCTCCAACACAAATTCCTTCAGGAAATAAAAGTGCCACTCTTATCTGATGAACTCCTCTTGTTAAAGCCCCTTTTCTTGCCAGACCTTTCTTCTGTGATTTAAGTCAATGAAAAACACTCCTCCACCCCCTCTACTGCAGTAACTGTTCCCCGTGGCAGGCTGTTCCACCTACCAGGAGTTTACAGGAACACAAGCTGCAGAGACAAAGCACTGTGTCTTTAACTTAAATAAACACATTTTTCCATAAAGAAAAAATGTGAAGGTTATATAGTGCAGTGCTTCACCGAATATTGACAGGGACCTGTGAGGGTCCTTGAAGGATTCACAGGGGCAGCTGCAATACCTGGGAAATAGAGGGGAATCAGTGTCTTGATTGTTTTTTTTAAATAATAACAATACACTTTATTTATATAGCATCTTTCATGCAAGATGCAGCCCAAAGTGCTTTACAGAGTAACATAAGATACAACATAATTAAAAAAAGTTATAAACATACAGAAAGAGTTATACCACAGAACCATAACACAATCAAACATGGACAGTGATACCACTAAAATTACCCCAAATTAAAAGCCAAAT